TCATATCATCTGAACAAGTCTCTTCAACAGCTTTTGTTCTCTTCGCTGATCAGACTCTTCTGGATTAATGGTACTATATATAGACCTCAACCGCACTGCAACATCACTCCAACTCTGCAGAGTTCTTCACATACAAAATTTGACAAATATCCCTGACGAGGAACATTCACAAGTCTTTCATGTCTGCCAATTACACGCATTCATATATTTTATTTCCACTTGTTTTATAGGTATTCACAAATTGTATTTATTATTATCATTTCAAAACACAGTCCTACTAAAACTAGCATCATGATCAACAGAGAGCATGACCAATCAATCAACATTCACACAAATGAAATAACTTAAGGTTAAAGTCATTATTACTAAATGTTAAAATAACAAAGCAAGACAATGCAGATTTCACCCATGACATATATATTTTGGGACATCGAGTGTTGAATATTTAAAGTGACACTAAATTCAGGAGTTAAATCTTATGCATACATTCAAGCACCTTAACTATGAACAACAATGTATCTTATTTGTGCTTTTCAAGGGGAATTTTTTTTTTTTTTAAAGATGCTTTTTATTGATGTTTTCAGATGTTATACACAACAAAAGAAATAGAAACAAAACAAACAACAAAATCCAGACACGGGGATAACAGCCCAGAAATAATTTCATGCAGATGTCGTGTAACATACATATTAGGTTTAGAACAGAGAATATAAGTTACTGGTTAAATAAATACTTACTCAGTAGCCCAGGATTGGTGGGCATTAGAAGTGTTTGCGTTTCAGGGAGTGCAAAGGATGTCAGAAGCTGCAGTAGGACACGCAGCTTCTGACATCAACATTCGTATTAGCAGAAGAGAGCCAGGGGCCCCAAATGCGAGTGAAGCGGAGCGGGTTGCCCGGCTGCTCATATGAAAGCTTGTATAGGGGCAATGCCTGATCAACCAACCTTTTCCAGTCTTCAAGTGGAAATGTATTTCATATATTAATGTTATATAGCTCAACAATGATTAGTGTATATTGAGACATGCAATTATATTTATAGAGTCAGAGTTTTCTTTTTTTCCCTGTTTTAAATTTAACTATGTATCTTATTTGTGTATCACTCGGCTGTAGATCCTCCAATCATCTCTGACACTGTCCTTCCTTCTGGAGGGGGGCTACATCTGTTCCCCATGCTCCCTGTGTGTGTTGTAAAGTAGTCACCGCTTCAAGCTGACTCCCGGGTTGGACTACAGTCTCATGTTTAGTTTACTTATGTGTATTGATATTGTAGTCCATCCCGGGAGTGAGCTTGGGGTGGTGACTACTCTACAACGCACACAGGGACCATGGGGAACAGACGTAGCCCCCTTCAAGAAGGAAGGACAGTGTCAGTACCAATTCAGAGATGATTAGAGGATTTACAGCCGAGTGATACACAAATATGATACATTGTTGTTCAGAGTTCAGGGACTTGGAGATATTTTTCAGATTGATCTTCTGAGTTTAGTGTTATTTTAACGTGATACAGTATTGTTTTTTATATTTAATAGAACATTGCTAAATTATATTATGTTAGTATGCCCTAAACCAGTGGTTCTCAACCTGTGGGTCGCGACCCAAAAGTGGATCGCAACCCACAGTTGAGGGGGTCCCCACATGCCTTGTGCTGCTCTAGATAAGAGGCTCCTCAGCCTCCTCCTAGAGCAGCAGTGTTAGTTCTCCTAGACGGCACTGCAGCAGCAGCGGCCAGAGAGGATCAGAGAGAGGTGAGCAGGCAGGAGTGAGGGGAGGTGAGTGCTTGATCACCACATAGCCCGCACTGGGCACCACAGAGCCCGCACTGGACGCCAACAGACAGTCCCACTAGCCATGTGAGAGCCTGCATAGCCTCCCGAGAGCCCACACAGATACTAGTATCAGTGCATCCCTAAAATTTACCGTTGTGGGTCACTACAACTTGGCAAATGTTACCAAGGGGTGCAGGCCCTAGAGAGGTTGAGAACCACTGCCCTAAACAAAATAGTGTATTATGTGAAAAATGGAATAACTGATCCCACAGGAAAAGTGTTGAGGCATTTCTAAGTAAAAAAAACAAATTGAAATTCATAATATTAGGAAAAACAAAAGTATAATGGCATTTAGCAGTACAGGACTAGAATGACATACAGAGACTATAAAATAAAATGGTCTGAGACTTCAGTGGGGCTGAAAAGGAACAATCTGATGAATATCGTGCTGCTGCCTTTCTTTGCTAAGAGAACGTTTACATTTTCAATAAGGATTTAGGCACACACGTTTTTTTTTAATACATTCTTTATTTTAGTGTTTTCATAAAACAGGTAATCACATACAAAACACATAATACATAAATCAGCTATCACAAATCTTTTTCACATGTGAGATCTAGACTGGGCCTAACCAGCCCCAAATAAATTCAAAAAGTAACCTGAGCATTGTAAGAGCATATTGAGAGGGTCTGGGGGGCTGCGTATAGGCGGGGGCATGTCCAATGGAAAAGGAAAGTCACAGTGGCAATATTTCATCTGAACTAGTGGGCGAGACGTGCGGTGCTTCCCAGCTACGCGCAGTCTGAGGGAGCTGGCTATCATGAGCGAGGTCACCCAAGAGCGCTATGTAGATATTGGCCACTGTGAGACTGCAGGAGCACTTCCGACAAGGACAAGACAGGAACGGAGGTTAGGAGTTATTGGTGGTGTATAACGGGTAAAGGATTCAGCTTCTATCATTAAGTTTCAGCGTAACTGTGTACTATAGGCAGTCTGACCCGACAGAAGAATCACACGTTTAGTACATGTAGGGACACAGAGACCTTACTCATGTGGGAGACAGTAGTGATCAAATTAGGGACTGCCAGAGGGTACATTGTAGTGTAGAACCCAGCGGGGGGGGGGGGGGGGGGGGGGGAAACAAGTCAGATGCTTTGGACTCTTTCACCTTTTGGTTTGGCGCTCTTTATTTCCTAACTTTGAATATATGATGTGACCCCGTGCTCAGCTGGGGGGCTACATTTTGCCTTATGAGAAGTCAGAGGGCACATTTCTTTGTTGTTGTTCCTGAACGAAATGTCTAAGTTGTTAAAATTGAAATTCATCTTGTAATAGTTTTAAAGAAGAACTACGAGGTCAGGGCTTTTCCCCATAGTTCTCCTTCGGGTAACGGGAGGACACAAACTAGCGTCCTCCCGTCATCCTAAGCTCAGTATATAGGGAGCTACAGCTCGCGGTATACTGAGACGCCGCAGCCGGGACGGATCCAAACAATTCTGTCTGGATCCGCCCAGCTACGTGAGTGACAGCCGGCTCTGCCTCTGTACCCGCCCCCTCCCCCGTCCGTTTCCGCCAGTCAGCGCTGGAGGATCGGAGAGCGGGGGG